TAAGTCTTAAGTACTAACTCATAAATGTATTATAATAACAGTTATTTATGAGAATTAACAATTCAAATATACTGGAATAAGGTTTAGTATCATTGACAGAACTTATTTAAGTGTAACGAATATTTGTATGCTGTTCACACAAAATAATATGTTGGTAACACAATAGTTCTGTAAATTTTATCAAACAATAATTACGTATTATATAATATCTATCAATGTATTAAAATGTTACAACTTAAAAACCGGTTGGTTATAAAAAACGTTTTATTTTGATACGATCACCGAATAATTGGTGTAGATAACAAATTATGTGTGGTATAGTTATACCATCTATTTTTGTCGCCAGCGGCACTATATTAGACTATTATAAAAAATAATTACTGACGACAGTGTTTTCAACAAGGAATATCAGTTATTCTTTCACCGTGCTTGTTCCAGACCCAAAAGCATCACATTTTTTCTATTTGTTTTCAACTTTTATTTTGTGCTATATAAGTTTTACAATTTATTTTCAAGTTATAACATTTAAACTCAACAATGGCCGATGATAATAGCAGAGATGACATAGCCGACTTTCTTACAGCTTCCAAAATGTTAATTTTAATAAGATACTTTGGCCTTCTTATTGGGGGTTTTGTACCTTTAGGTGAACCGATTTGGGACTTGTATTTGACCATGCCGAACATCACTTGAGGAAAGTAATTGTACATTGCCTAGAAACCTTAATAGGTGAAATGAATAATCTGTATTTAAAATACAGTAAAAATTATCTTAAGCAAAAATTCCATTTCCTTACGGGTAATGACCCGTCTAGGATAAGAAAACATGGCCTTGTTGTACACTTATGGTTGCTATATTTGCTAAACAAACAAAAACACTATGTGTAATTAACTAAACATTTTGTTTCTTAAGTTAAATGTATTCGGTTACTATACAAGAATTGTATTAACAATACCAAATCAAGTATGATTAAATTAACAAAACTATTTTGTATATCCAATGACTTAAAATTAAAAAAAGTCAATTAATTTTTTGCAACTAAAAATACTGTTGTCACTGAGGCAATTAAATTTCATAGTTGTAACTGCAATATTTCTGTTTCTACAATCACATTTTTTTTAGTGTGTTAAAACATTAATTAAAATTAATTTTATGAATCCACATGGTTTCCCATGGGGCCTAGCCCCCCCTCCAGACATATTATTATAATTCTACAGATCATGATATTACCTATAGGCTATACTATATTTCAAATTACATGTATGTTTGATAATATAATATATTATTATACGTACCCATCATTCTGGGGTGCACAAACTAAGATAGTACTATCTTAGTTCACGGTGGACAGTGATTTCAATATTGTAATTTTACATTAACAAAAAATTGTGCCTCCTTCTAGATCTTTGCTCTGGATCCGTGTCTGTGTTCCATTCCTGCATGGTCGACGATCTTTATAAATTAGCAACTGAAGAACTTAATAAGTAGGTTAATTAAATATTTAGTTAGAATATCAAGTTGATTTATTTAGTTTTATATTGTATCATAGTATCACAAATTTATACAATAATTTTCTAGAAATTCAAATTTCATTTCAGAATCATTTATACACTATTATAAAATATAACACACGTAATATTTTGAAATCCTTACAACAAAATGTTTTGGGTAAAGAGGAATTACTTGCATTGAAACCAGCTGTGACCCAAAAGTCTTTAAATCCAATTCAATAAGTTATTTTTATTTCATTTAGATTTTTTTATTAAATTCCGTTTTTTATTTTTCTATTTAGTTATTTTCTTAACTAAAGATTTTTTAATATATCTATCAAATTACTACTATTACTTCCATTAGCAGTCGCAATTTGCCGACCGCTCAAGAAGATAACTGATGAGTCTGTACCTATATAATTGTGATCAACCTGTAGTTTTAACAGTAGATTTTAATGTTAACTTTTCATTGCCAGATGCTTAACTATTGCAACAGGTTCAATCCGTGAACTGAAATTTACTTTAAGAATGATTAACAGTAGATATTATCCTAGGCCTAAAGGTGGTACTACCATTGACGCTGTATTTGCCAGAAAACTTGAAAAGATACAAATAAAACATTTTGTATCATATTTCAGTTAACCTAACCCAATTACTAGTATTACGTGATTGACAGATAAGACAACTAACCTAACCTAATAGTGACAATTGAATGCAAAAAAATACTAGTAATTACAATGAAACAGACAATTTTATATTATCAACACAGCGAAAGTTAGTGAAAGTGTTATGAATTGTGTCGACTTTTATATTTTACTGTTATCATATTGAATTGTTAGATAAAATCACTTCTTTACCACTTCCTAAGTAAAAAAAAAAAAGTATTCACTTCCAACGTGCGCGATCGGGCGGACACACAGTAATTTTTTTATGAAAACTGATTACTTGAAAAGGCAGACATATCGTTATTAAGATTGAACATTGTAGATTGATCGACTGTCACCTGATTATCAGCCGTACCTCTTTTATTTATCAAACACAAATATAAGTTTTTATTGTAATTATGGAGGCGGAGTTTTACAGAGATCTCGAAACACCGATCACCATAAAATCGACGTTACTAAAATTAAAGACGAAAAAACTTGTTTTCAAAATATGTTTGATAGTACCTATGAAATAGTTTGTAGAAACAGAGCTACACCGTTATAAAATAATGTATATATATATGTAGAATATTCTATGACGGTGTAGCCTTGTAGATACAGATCTCCAAAAGTGGAGGGTCATTTTCCCTGCGATACTTTGCAATTTAACAACGTTATTCTATAGAACAGGAGCTCCTGATCAGTTTGCGCTTTCAAATTTTTGCTTAAACGAACACCGTGGAAGTTCAACGAGTGGGGGGGAATTGCAACCCAGTGACAAATCATATGCTTACCTGCCGGGCGGCCGTAATTTGAACTTGTAGTTTTCAAAAATGCTACTGCACGATAGTTAATGTATATGTCTATTGAAATAATCTAGTTTATAAGTTAATAACAATTAAATATGAGTACCATTCAATGATAAGCCGTGTTATTAATCTGGTTTCAAACGCCACGCACCACACAGTTTCTGCAATTTCCGCGTAATTTGATTGAATTTTTCTTCATAGAATTATGCCGATGTGCCGGCGGTATTGTACATCCTCTGTATCCACTGCCTTGAAATTCCCTGGTAGGTTCTGGCTAATGATTGGCTTATATTTTACGGCACATTTTCCGTAGATGTATACATGTACTATTTTTTTTAACGCTCATTTACTTTCGACCAAAGACTATCGAACATCATAGACACTAGGTATGGCTATTTCAAAGCGTACTAAGTTAATATGTTTGATGGATTTTCGAACTAAAAAAACATCCACATATTTTCCAAAGTCCACTCTTCTTAATCTGATGCTGTTTGCACATTAACCGGTAAGTAAATTATTTTTAAGTACAAGACACATCGAAATATATCTTCAAAAATAATAAAATTTTTTGCGTTTTTTGAGGTTGATGTAAATAAAATAAAGGCTTATAACTTATTTATTAATATTTTATTATATTCTTTTGTTACTTAGAAAAATTAAATAATGAGAAAATTGTGAACCCTATACTCCAATATCCGGAGATATTTCTAGCCAGTTTTGAGGAAAAACAGTAAACGTAACGAAAACAAACGAAGGAAATCGTACAATGTAAATAAAAAAAATATGTTTGGAAGAACACATACACGTAAGTAAAATTTTGAACATGTTAAGTACAAAAAAAAATTTTTAAAAATTAAAAACTTTTTTATGAAGGCTGCAAAATTAATTGCATCATGTATTGTAGAGCTACAACAAGCAGGCCATAAAGTAGTCATAGATATTGAACTATTAAATACAACATTACACAAATATGGCCATTTTAATTTAAAAATACTTCAAAACATCACACAAAATATTTCATACAATCTGACATACTAAATACGGACAATAAAATGCATGAAAACCATTTGTACAGAAAAATACTAAAAATTAAACTAAAAAATAACGTATCAAAAAACTTAAACGAAAAATTTAAAACAAATTACAGACATATTACTAACTTCAAACCAAAATATAAAAAAAATTAAAAAACAAAAAAAACTACAAATTAAAAAAAATTAACAAAATTATCAATAGTAAAACCCTTAAAAATATGGTGGAATATGAAAGTATTAAGTAAGTAAAAAAAATAAAAACAATCTTGTATATTTAAAATTATCTTATATGCAGGAATTTGAATTCTGAAATTACTCCAGAGGTGTTAAGTAACCAGTTTGTGAATTTACAAATAACTCCTAATGAAAAAAACTATAATATGCTTTGTGATACAGCGAACAAAATTGTGCCTGTTGACACAGATACTAACAGTATACACATATTTTTAATGAATTATTTAACTTACAATTATAATAACAGATTGTAAGTCTTTTTTTTCTAATACAGTACTTTAATTTATTAAAACATAACATTGTTGTTATAGCACCGAAAACATGGTTAACAATGAGAAAATTATAACAATACTAGACGAAATACTTAAGTTGTATACACTATGTTCGAAACTAAATACAGTGAAACCTCTCTTAACGGACACCTCTCAATAACGGACAAAATTTCCGGTCCCGGCATAGTCCCGTTGAAAATAATAGATAATGCTCCTCTAAATAGCGGATACCTCTGAATAACGGACGCGGACAGATTAGGTAGTCCGAAGTGTTTAAATATATCTAAATAACGGACAGCTGTCCAAGAAATACAAACTTATTGTGTAGGTATAGGTACAATACAATATGTAATATACAATATATTTTACCGATAAAGACATTTATCTAAATCGTAATTTAATGAATACGATAAGGTATGAAAAATTACAAAATTAAATAAGAACCTATACGAGCGATAGTGATGTTATGACTTAGGTACTGATATCAATAGCATTGTCCGTTAGTATCGTATTTACCATGGCTCCGGTACGGTCGCGTTTGACGTTGAAAAATAAAATCGACATAATAAAATGTTATGATGCAAAAAAACAAAGTGTTCGTGAATTAGCGACTCAATTTAAAGTTGGTAAAACTCAAATTGGAACCATACTCAAGTCCCGGGTAGATCTATTGCGTAAATGGTGTGATGAAAACGTGAATGGAGAGACAAAAAAGAATTTTATTGAAGGTAAGGGCTTTGAAATAGACCATGTGTGTTATGAATGGTTCTGCCGCGTCCGTGCTAAAAATTTGCCTATCTCTGGTCCTCTCATACAGCAAAAAGCTATAGAAATTGCTAAAACTTTGGGTAGAACTAATTTTAAAGCGTCTAATGGATGGCTAGAAAAATTTCGCAAACGTCACAATATTGCTTATAAAGCTATCTGTGGAGAAAGTAGTTCCGTTGACCATGATATTGTGGACGACTGGAATAATAAATTAGTCGAAATATGTGAAGGATTTGTTCCAAAAAATATTTTTAATTTAGATGAAACTGGCTTATTTTTTCGTGCTTTACCCAATAAAACAATGTGTCTCAAAGGTGAGAACTGCAGTGGTGGAAAAATAAGTAAAGAACGAATTACAGTTATGTTGTGTGTTAATATGGAAGGCGATTTTGAAACACCTTTGGTGATTGGAAAGGCGTTAAAACCCCGGTGTTTTGAAAAAAACAAACTAAAATTTCAGATTTTTTTTTTCAATAAGTAATTTTGTATAACATATTTTATTACGTCTAATTATAATAAATTATGTAATGATAAATAAATGTTTAAAAAGTCAATAAAATTTAAGTTTTCAGACATAAATACATACATATTATTTTATCAATTTTTCCCAATAGCGGACACCTCTCAATAGCGGACAATTTGGTCGGTCCCGTGAGTGTCCGCTATTCAGAGGTTTTACTGTATTATACATAAATGCTACAATAGAATTAAGAAAAATGAATTAAATACATATACACAGCGCGGGGTCAATTTAAAGAAAAAATATACGGTACGAATTCCAAAAAATGTTATACAAATTGGATAACTTTCAAACAACAGGCGATTTCAACTTTAATTTGACTCGGTGAGTGTTATTGTTACCACCTGTTTGAATACAGTTATATAATGAAATGTTCTTTGTTATACAGATTCGACTATGAGGAGACATCTTTGTTGGTTGATGTTGGAGGTAGGCACATATCAAAAAATTTTATATAGACCCCATTATTAATAAAAACAAAGATTTCAACTTCATAGAAATATTAGTAATTACTGCAATATTAAAAAACCAACTTAAAACGGTAATAATTTATAAGAAAAAAATTCTAGTTAAGAGGACGCCACACTTTCTAGTTATGAGCATTTTAAATTTACATTTATTATGCAAGCATGCCTCGCTTAAAAATTGAAGTATCGTAAAAAATCTTCTAACAAAATACAGATAAAGTTCTTACCATCAAGTTTCATAATAGGTCGATTTACTCTAATTTTTAAGCTAACGGCATAAGACTTGAACTGTTGAGCTTAAATTTAGTATGTTACGCGTTTGTAAGACGGAGACAACACATGCAGGTGTGGCGTCCTCTTAATAATAAATAATACTAAATAATATATTGGTAAATTTTTCAGAGGAAACAGTTATATTATCATTTTTTATCAATAGCCGAATTCTTATCCCTATCTTACAACTATCCGGTTTGTATATTGTTTGGTTAATAAATTATTACTAAACTACTATTATTATTATTATTTTTTTTTTATTGATATTTTTGTAGCATCGGTGACGTGGGCCATTAGCTTTATACTCTTCTATTATTGTTGTTATCGTTAAGTTACGTTACTTTATTATCGGGTCGCGAACAAAATATTTATATTATTATTAAAATGTATATCGTTTAAGCGAAGATAAATTACTAATAAGAAATTCGAAAAAGAAACTTTAAAAGATTTATAATATGTAGCCGCATACTAATGATGATAAAAATATTTGATGGCATATAATATTTATATACATATACATATACATATACGGAATACAGATATCTGTTGGTACGTACCTCTTTCATATGTCTATCAACAGCAACATAATACCGTCGTAAGAATCGCACGGGGGGTATTGATATTTTAATACCTATATACATGCTCTTACTCGTAATAAAAACATAAAACGTTTTATAACAGTTTATGCAGACGTGTTTTATACAGATCCGATTGTCGGACGACGTGCAATCATTTTGGAACAATGTAATACTACACGCTGCACTGTAACTCAATATTTCATACATACGATCGAATCGGTCGATCGAACGATGTGCAAACAATTGCAATACGCTTAAAGTTGTCAAATAAAATATAATATTTAGGTGTAGGTACACATGCAAATGGTTATAAGTTATTAAGTACCTACTATAGCATATCGATGGCCTGGAGCACTTGACACTGCAGTAGATACTGCACGTCTGCTCATAATATTAAAAAATTAAATTAATGACAATTTTCAGGAATATCTTGTAAAGTTGAATTGAACAGTTCCCAAGTATAAAATACAAACATACCAGTAAATAAAACATCACTTAATAATCCATAATTTAATATAGGTATTATACATTTTTAAAATAGTGGACTTTTAATGAATGCCGTCGATGTACCTGTAATATAGATTAGCTGTAACCAGTTCAACGGCGCAGCGAAGGTAAGTAAAATTTACTCAACGATGTTGTAGGTACTGATTAATACCCGGTGTTGTAAAAATTAAACATTTTATACAAAATAGATTAATGATTATTTGTCGTTGGTCTGTCAAAGTGTTGAAAGTCTGAAACCTTGTCTAGAAAAATATCAATTAATAATGCTCGGATCTTTTTAAGGCACGCAGTAAGTTTCTCTAATCAAGATAAATTGTTTTTTTTTTTTACTACTTTAACGTAGATAGTTCATTAGGCAAACATACTGTAATAATGCGTGACTATTTATGTCGTAATCACGTGACCTTTCCCTTAAATTTAGATCATTATGTATTACTTATATTATGTTCTTAATTTCCATACTACATAACACGTACAATGAATACCCACCATGTATTTTGAAGAACACATAAATTAAGCTTTCATTTCCATCGATATGCTTGATATTTTAATAGTTCGTACTATTTTAAATGTTCTACTATTTCATTTTTGTTAGTACTGTCTAAAATGTCTATTGTGTTTTATATTTATTCTGATGAACTCGCCAATAATATTTCTCAAATCTCTTCTTTATATTTGGATTTATTTTACATCACAGTAAATATTCATTATAAATGAATTTAAATTTCTATTGCATTTATTGATTTAATTGTAAAGGTTAGCAATTTCGTATTCCCGATGCTAGTAATGTACAGGGGTGCAGCAGGGTAACCAGCGTATATTTTATTCGTGATTATTGATTATACTCTATTATGATTTCATAAAAAATATGAAAAAAGTATTTTGATATTTTAAGTAATTTCTATACATTTTTTCTTCTGTTTTGAGTTATTGTTTTGTGAATAGATGAGAATATTTTTAATTAATTTTAAACAAAATCTTCTTTGAAATAAAGACGCCTACATTTTGAGTTGCAGTAGCTCTCGTACACGCCAACAATGATATTGAGGTTTACGGTTAGCTTCTTTGATAGTGTATTCGATGGCGGATGGGCTACACAAGTAAAAATGTAAGACAATCTATTCATATATATTTCATTAAATATAAGCCAGACAGATTTTTTAAGTTCGTAGTCTGTTTTCCCACTGCTTCCTCTTACATTGTCGAAGACGTGTTTTACGCATATCTGCCGGCCGATTCATTTAGTAGACAGCGCGTAGATGCTTACGCCGCCGCCGTCGTAATCAGGTATTTCGTGCATTTATAACGAGCGGGTGTGATGGCAGTTAACACTAAATAATAATAATAATAATAGTGGTAACAATATTGAATAAAGATTATTGTATACAAGGTACAGGCGACTCATAACTTCGTGCAAGCCACGGGCGAAGAATGAACGTATGATATTATGCCGCAACCGTATACAATGATCAACCGACAACTTACATAATGTTTATAATAGTTACAACTACCGTGGTAGCAGTATTAGTGGCCTAATCTAATGACAATACGATATAATACGTAATATAATACGAAATTACGATGTACGTCATAAACTACGACTAACGCTTGCGACGCGGGAACAGCCGCGGCCGAGAAGGAGAAGCGGTTGACGTTGATCATAATAATATATTAATATTATAATAATGAGGTACGAATAAAGAAATCGTAGTAGGCAGTAGGTACAGGTTTTTCTCAGTCTGCACATGATTTGTTGCGACTTTTAATACCATCTAGTATTGTTGGGTATTATTGGGTATAGCGTGTATTGTACGGGGTCGAATAAAATAAAAAGCCGGTAAACGAAACGGAGAAAAAAAAACGAAAATATTTAACAATAAAATATAACGAAAATAACATTATGAAATATATACGTGCCGCGTAGGTCGTATGTATCGTATTTTTGATCTGTGAATCTGACTGTTTGTGGGAACCCAGCAACACGGGATTCAATAAGTTTTACTTACGAAAACTCATAATTATCAGAATTTCTAGTTTAAGATTTTTTATTATTTTCAAGTTAGACACGACATGGCGTATCTAACAGGTAGCATAAATAGCGGTGTGCCGGTGTCCGTAGTAATAACAATAATAATAATTATTAAAAATGTTTTCTTTTTCACAGCAGTTCGATTTTATCTATGCGGTCCGGTCTAACAAACAAAAGAGGATTGTCGTCGACATTTCTCGGATGACACGCATGCAAAAACCGGAGGGAAGAGAAAAAAACATTGCAAAATGTAAAATGTTGCACACGCATTGTTTCAAGTTTTCGAAGGACATTTTTTCGGCCATCGCTAACGTTTATTTATCATTTATTCGTGTGGATGTAGGTGACTTTATTTAAGAGGTACCTACTGTAATATGTTTTCTAGATAAAATTGTTTATTTGTTTCCGTCTAAACGCGCGTATCTATAAAATATAGTATAATACGTATACTATGTTCGTCAATTTGTTTTTATTAAATAATGTTGGAGAAGTTATATAGCACATGGCATAATATGGACGTATTGCCATAATATACTACATTACATGGTAATAAAAAGTATTACCATGAACTAAAAATATAACATACAAGCAATATTTAAACATTTTTCAAAGAAAGCAAACATTACATTTTAACTTTCCACACCGTTACGAAAAACGTGTTGGTCAGAAATGCGACATAAATCATAGTTTATAACTTATAAGTTTATAATAATTATCATTATATTATATCTCATTAATTATTATTATTTTTAACTCATTAATACCGACGTAATAACAAACACTGATAATACTTACATGGAACAAATATTTAGCTGGAAATTAAAAATAATAATTTAAGTAATAGTGGAAATGATTCAAGTTTCCACGAATTAGCAAAATGAAAAAAATCTTTAACTTTAAACGCTTGTAACATATTTTTTCTTGACATTTTTAAGTTGCTATGAGGACTACTTTTCGGGGAACCTTAAAAATATATTTCAAGGTTTTCTTTGGGGCTACCAGAAATCGTTGGATGTGCTCCGATGTCCCATCAGTATTTTATAATAATGACCACATGGCACATATCAACATCTTAGGTAGGTATAGAGGTGACTAATTAAAAATGTAGAAATAGATTTATCACAGAAAAGTGTTGTTCCCTATAAAAACGTATAAAATAGTTTCAATTGTTTTGTTTTTCATACGTGATTTATGTATTGAGGATTGACGTTAACCGCGTGCATTTTTGGATATGGCGTAGCGTTTTGAAATCACTTAAGGTGGAAAATACGACGACGCCAGCAGCCTCTTATACATTATTGTTGTAGGCAGCTGCTTTACCTACTTCTTTCCAACACACGTTAGGCCCCTTGAGGTTGGCACGACAGTCTTTTTCATTGTTTCTATGCACCACACAACAATTGTAGGCATGCGTGTCGTGTTAAGTGTAAACAAACAAAATACTTAAATTTAAGCAACAACCACGTTCGAAATTACATGTTACTCTCTTCCACACGTGTGACTGCCACTACAACAGTGTCGGCGCCAGGATTTTCATCTAGGCAGGCCAAACAGGGAGAACATTGAACACCAACAATATTATAAAGTCAAGCAATGTAAAAATG